GTCAAAGCCAGCTGCCACATTGCACTATAGACTCCCAGGCCAGCAGGTCGGTCAGGCAGTTCACTACCCTTGCTTGTGTTGAAATGGTTTTCATAATCACAGAGCTTAGAGGAGTCCAGAAGGCCACAATCATTAAACAGCTCCGAGATGAGCTCACTTGTGCTCATACGGGTATATTCATTGGGGAAAGCGAGGATGGCAGTGATGGCTGTCATGATGAGTACTTCTACGACAGGATACTTGCCCAACTGTGTGGTCTTACGCTTCCGACACCAGGCAATGTTTGTGCGAATAAACAAAGCTCCCCACAGACCGCCAAATATGCCCAGCAAAATGAATGGCACTAGTTCAAAGAGATGCCAGGGCGTGTGAAACTCCACATAAAATAAAACTAGACGACTGTTCCCAAATGGATTGATGGAGCGTAGAGTAAAGGCTGCCACCAACGCAGCAAAGAAGGAACGCCACAGTGTTTTGAGGGGAAAATAGTAGCTGACCTGTAAGAGAGAAGGTGAGAAAGTGAATTCAGGCACTATGCAGAAACAGTTCGGGGTCAAAAGTTTGTGCGTTGAGAATTAGTGTTAAGGATAAAACTGCTCATAGATTTCTAGCATCACACAGAAAAGCATTGGGTTGGGCAGAACATGTAGGGACTGCAATGTACATACATAGATCTTGATCAAACTTCCCAACACAAAAGCATGCACATATTCTACAACCAAGTAGTTACCTCTTCTAGGCTGAACAACACTCCGCCAATAGGTGCCCCAAAAGCTACAGATACACCAGCTGCTGCTGCAGCCGACAAGACCTATGATCCAAAACTCAAAGTTAATAACAATATTTTTTTTAACTTCAAATCAAATTTTAATGCAAATTGTTACTAAACATTAAACAACAATACCTTTACATGTTCCCATTAATCATAATTGAAGAGTTTACATTTAAGAACAAACACTGTATATAGGGGTGTGATTTTTAATGTTTGAACAGGTAAGTTTGAAGGCCTTTTCTTTGTAATTTAAGTGTGTCCTTTATTCCCCTATCCCTAATACTTAGAATTTAATAACTAAATTTAAGTTTATAGACCTCTTAACCACCTAAATGAAGCACAGAGTTGTATTTACATAGCACTTTGTAAAGGAATGCTTTTTAAAACAACAAATTTAATATAATTTATTTTTTTGAGACTACACAGCAGAGTATTCACCAATGCAACACTTTCTACATACACAATTCAGGGACGTTGATCACATTCTTCAAGTTGTGTATTTGCACACTACTTTTTTCTGAATTTGTTCCTCTCCCATTAAAATAACCTCTGAAGGTAGGGTAGAAAGGGGGAACTGATTACAAGAATCTACATATCAGCCCCTCCCTGGGGAATGGACAGCAGACAAGTCATTCTCAAAACATTTGCTCTCCATGAAAGCCCCTGGCATCAGCTCCTAATTTTTCTCCCTCCCTCCCCGCTCCCCCTTCCCTCATGAACCCTTGATAATTTATAAATTATTATTTTGTCATATCTTACACTGTCCGTCATCTCCTTTCACCCACTTTTCTGTTGTCCGTCCCCCAAGAAGGAGGTTATATGGAGATCCTTGTCATCGGTTGCCCCTCTTTACACCCGCCCCCCTCCTGGTATCACCACTCTCACCACTGGTCCCGAAGGGATCATCCTTCCTGGATTCCCTGTGTTTCCAGTATCTATCTATACCAGTGAACATCCTCTGGTCTGGCCAGATTTGTAAGGCAGAATTGGGATCATGATAGTGGGTGGGGAGGAAGCATTTAGGAACTAGAGGAAAGCTGTATGTTTCATCATTGCTACATCGCACCCTGACTGGCTCGTCTCCCCCCCCACGACCCTTTTGTAAGGGGATGTCCAGTTGCCTACAAATGGGCTTTGAGTCCCCACTCCGCACTCCCCATCTCATTCACAATGATACGATTTTTGTTCTTTGATGCCTGATACCTGATCCCTTTGACACCTCGTAATCACACTGGCTGGTGTGCTTCTGCCATCTGGGCTTTGTTGCTTCTGAGCTAGATAGCCACTTGTTTACCTTCAAGCCTTTAAGACCCCAGGCGCTATATCTTTTGATAGCTGGGCACCATCAACTTTCTTCACCACATTTGCGTATGCACCCATTTTGTCTCTAGCGATTGTGTCAGGAAGGTGAGCATCACAGAATGGCAGTTTAATAAAACAAAGTATTCTTGCATTAAGGGAGTACTTGAGTGGAGGCCCAATGTCCATCAAGGCAGACATTTTTTACTAGTGAAGTTAAACTATTGCTTGGTTTTAAGAAGACTTCAGGGGATAGTTCTGGCTTAACATTTAAAAATTATCTCAAGGCAATAGTTTCAGAGGTTCATCCAGACTTCATGGCTCCAGAATATATAGATTTTATGAAAAAATGGTATTCTGTTCTTCACACACACATACACCGATCAGAATTCTCCTTTAGAATCTTTGATCAACATGTTTAGTAATGGTAGCTAAGTCCTAAATTTAATTCTGGTCTTAAGGCAAAGGAGGCAGTTGCTAATAGAGGCTATTAACCATACATTCATATCCTCCTTCTATTCCTCACTCCTTCCTCCATTGTTCCAAGTGAAGAGAGACAGATTGTTGTATCTTGGATGGCTACTTGTATGCTTGTATGACTCCAGCCACTACCAATGAACTAGAAGGTAGAACAGAAGCACTAACACAGTATTAGGCCAATTAACTGGGATGTGCCATAAAATTATGACCCTAAACCTTCAAACCAAGTAACTATTAACTGCTTGAAAATAAGCAGCTTCTGCAGCCACTCTTCCCCTATCCCCACTGTAACCTCTATTTGAAAGAGTGTTCTAATAACACAAAACTGAAGTTATATTTGGTTTGCAGCAATTAAAACAAAACAAACAAACCAAAAAACCTCACTGCCATCTAGCTGATTCTGACTCACAGTGACCCTACATACAGGACAAGGTAGAATTGCCCCTGTGGGTTTCCCAGACTATAACTCTTTATGGAAGTAGTCTTTCTCCCGTAAGGCAGCTAGTGATTTCAAACTGTTGACCCTATGGTCAACAGCCCAATGCATAATCACTATGCCACCAGGGCTCCAACACAGCTATTATAGGAGCTGCAAATTCTGAAATATTCATAAATAAGTATTTACAGTTTCTTCCACTTTGTGTCCTACTCCATACCCAGAACCCCCTAGAAACAGAAAAAGGAAAACAACTAGAAGCAAGAGATTTTAAAGGGTAGAGTAGACCTAAATGTGTGTAGGTGTGGCAAGGAAAGAGGCTTCCTCTTTTTAAATGGTGTCAAGAACTTTCCTCCCTTGCACTATGAGAATTTATTCCACGTTTGAAAGTTAAGCATCTCCAAGTTTCCTTCTGTGTCTTATGATTCATTTCTCCCCAAAATAATTGCTAATGCCCACTTTTTGCAAAAAAAAAAAATTTTTTTTTCACTGAAATAACCTTGGTCTTAACCAAGGCAGGGGTAGTTGGGGGAAATGGAGAACTAACAACAATGAACACAAGAAAGAAAATGTTCTAAAATTGATTGTGGTAATGATAGCACAAAATTTTTTAATACGATTGAACGATTGAGTTGTATGGCATATGAAAAATAGGTCAATAAAAATTGCTTTTAAAAGTTCCTATTATCTTAATTTCACACAACACAGAGGTAGCCTTTTTTTCATCTTAAGAAATAGTTTCAGATAAACCTATGCTCCAGACATTTCCTAAGTATACATGCACTCATGTTTTTGTTGGTTATCAATGAGTCAATTTCAAATTATGGTGACCTCATATGTGCAGAGCAGAACTGCTCTCTGTGGTTGTTAAGACATTTCAGAAGCAGATTGCCAGGTCTTCCTTGTTCAGTGCCTCCGATTAGGTTAGAACCACCAACTTTTCAGATATCGTCAAGTGCATACCTTTATGCTACCTTTGCAAAACGTGAATTGAATTATACTCCATACATTCTTCAGAAACTGGCCTAAAACATAATGTTTTCTAGTCATCATTTCATGTCAGTATACATCTCATTCTTTGAATGACTGCACATTGTTTTAATGATTGATTATTTATTAAATTAATCTCTTATGTTCGGACATTTAGATATTCTAGCCTTTCACAATGTTAGTAAATGCTACACTAATTATATTCCCGTGCATCCACCTTTGTGCACACACATGCTAGGATGTTTGGAGGATAAGTTCCTCGATATTTATGCTTCTATTTTGTTTGAATCCCCAACAAAGGTATTTTTCTTGAATCCCCCACAAAGAGAACAGTACGGCAGGTTGTTATTACCTCTCGGCGCTTGGCTTCATTCTTCCTATATTTGTTGAAGCAGTGGCACAGGATATTCCCACAGCAGCAAGCCACATGTACCAAGGGGCCCTCTTTGCCCAGACTCAGGCCAGATGATACTGCCAGCACCAAGGTAATGGTTTTGATAATTAGGGTCCACTTACCCAAATAACCCCTAATAATGAAACCACTCAAGATAGTTTTTATCTGCAAGTAAAACACAAAGACCAAATATAGACTAAGAAGCAATATTCTGAACCTCAATTTAGAAATTACACATGTTGTATACAGTGCATACAAATACTTTGACCTACTATGATCCCAATTTGGGAGGGAGTCCAGGAGCCCAAGAAAAATTTCACGTTCTTTTGTTAGGGGGAGGGGGGCATATAAGAGTATACGTATAAGGAGAAAGGGGAGTCAAAGAAGGGAATAAGTGAGTGTTACCCTTACTTTACAAAATGGTGGCCCAAGAAACATTTTATGAGAGGGCAAGGTTAATTTGACAGAAACAATGTTACAGTTTAGGCATAGCCTTGATTTGTTGCCAAAGAAATCGAAGACTATTACTTTGCTAGGGAACAAAGATGAACAAGGTCATCTTGGAGGTTTTGGTAGCTGTCAAACAATCTCAACTAAAACTAGTTATGAATAGTTTGAACACCCTCTCTTGGCTAAAGTCACATTATGGAAACTGTAGTAAAAGAGTTTTGTTTCTTCTGCTCTAACAAAGTTAACAAAACTGCTACTTTTTGAATGCTCCTTGGATAGGGAGTGGGAAGAACCTTTAGGAATCTGGTTCAGTAGAACCCCTTACGCGGTTCAGAAGCCGTTCCCTTTACTTTTCAATTAATTTTAAATTTAATTTGTTTTCATTTAATTTTCAGAAGTACAGGCTAGGAGAAAACTTGGGGGAAGTTCTAGAAAAGTGTTACAGTTTATTTCAGGGCCTGACCCTGTTTAATATTCACCAAATTGTAGTATATGCTGGGATACTTATTAAACAGCTTGAACCAAATAAGGATCACTTTGGCTACAAATTACAAACCATTTTAGAGACTTACCTCAGGGATTCCAGAGCCGCAGGCATAAGGTGCAAAAACTTTCACAAGAGATACAGCAAGGAAGGCAAACAGGAGAGCCCAGAGGACGTACATGAAATAGTTGACTATGTAGGCAAAGGCCCCCTGGAAAATGAAAAAGGAGAAGTTTGTTTTAACCTAAATAGCTTCACTGAGGCACACAATTCTTTGTTTTTATTTTTCGGCATACAACTCTTCAGAGTAATAGTATTGCAGGACAGGAGGTCATAATTTTCATTAACTTTTTTAAATTGAAAAGACCAACATCAAATTGCTCAAAAGGCTCCTTTCAGCCTGCTAGTTAAACAACCATTAAAACACTGTCAACCCACTTGCCACTGAAAAAGAGTTGCTTTTCTATAATCAAATCAAATTTACAATTAATTCTATGGATGGGCAAAAAGGTAGAGCAAACTGAAAACCTTAAAATAAAATTCAGTTTCTATACAAGTGCTTTGATATGCTTAGTAGGCAAATATACATGAGTCTATGCCAATTTTATCAAGAACCTCTTTATTAGAAAGGCTGAATCTTAGCAATACATTTGCAGTGAGACTGGTTCTAAAGCTCCAGTAAATCCACCTGTAATGATATCCCTTGGTGTCATACTCCCTCAACAAGTTATATTTATTAAATTCTTGGGTATTTTTTTTCTAATGCATAACTAAGCTCTCGAAAAAATGACCACAGCGTTGAGAGAATTTTGCTACCACAGGCACAACAACAAGCATATGCAGTACATGGTTTTTAGTCTTGATCATAAGATAAATCCAGTGAGAAGCCAGAAACTCTGAAGAATAAATAGCAATACCTATTTTTTAAATGGAGACAGTGTTTTCGCAATGATTTTCCTATATAATGGAGTGTGCCAGAAAAAAATATCAAATTTTGATCACTAACAAGGATTGGTCAACATTAAATGGCTTACAAATAGTCATTCTTAAAAAAAATTCTGAACATTAGAAAATTACGCTTGCTGGTGAAAATAATAAAATGAAATTCAAATGATATGGAATGTAAAACTCAATGGATTGTTTACTTTATATTAAAAACACTATTGTGAAAATGGTGTAGAGGCCATATCTGACCTCCTCTGGCTACGCAAGGGAGAATCCAACCCAACCCCATTGCCATAGGATAGGCCAGTCATGCCTCCTCCCTCCATCCTTTCTGCCTAATTTGACAACAACCATTCCTCCTATGCCACTCTACTTTTCTGCTGGGACTGATCATTCATTGCCAGAACTCACAGATAAAGGTCACAAATACAGGGCTTTGTTTTTATAACTCTTCTCGTCATGATTGAAATACTGAATTGTGTGATGTGTACATTAAAGGCAAATAAAACTGTTAGAAGAGGGGGGGGAAGGAATAAACAGGTCTGTCTTGTAAGAAGTACAGCTAGAATGCTCCTTAGGAGCAAAGATGGCAAGACTTCATCTCCCATACCTTGGACATGTTGTATGGAGAGACCTGCCTCTACAGAAGGACATCATGCTTGATAAAGTAGCTGGGCAAAGAAAAACAGGAAGATCCTTGACAGGATGGATAGACACATTAACTGCAACAATGGGCTCAAGCATAAGAAAACTGTGAGGATGGCTGTGTTTTGTCCTGTTATATACGATTCAATAGCACATAACAAGTTAGGATCAGTAAACAGCAAGGCTTAGCTCAGAGCAGTGCCTCTTCCCACGTGATTCCTTGGCTTCTGCCTCTGTGGATCAGGAAGCCTGCCTCTGTGGATCAGGTTCTTCCTCACAGTCTCACTGCTCCTCTGCTCTGTTTCTTGGTCTTCTTCCTTCCGCCTCCAATGTAAGCCTGGAATAGCCTCTACTGCTTCCACCAAGTCAGGTAGAGCCATTGGTTGCTCTTCTTTAATGGTCCCTGCAATCCTCTCTCTCTACTTCTGAGATGCCTCTCTTATATACTAAGGAATGGCTTTAATGGAAATGTGCTTTTGTCTTTCAGCAGACCATATGCCCAATAAAACAAAAGGTGGTGACTTGGTTTATACTCTCTAGTAAAGTATACATCTCACCTTAATCCTTTCCATTAGCATAACAGGGGGCTCTCTCCAAAATGAGATTGTAGCAATAGGCGCAGTGTCTAGAATGTATAATACATCACAAACGGGCTAGAGGCTCATATTTAGTAACTGACTACATATCAACTATTAAAATTATTCATTGAGAAGGTGAATCAGAATGCTCAGTTTTTTCCCCTGAATTATCATGTGCCCTGGCTAAAGGCAGAGACTTGAGGGGCATTTCTTGGCAACGGAACTCTTAAAACTTAATAGGCTATTTTCCTAGGCAAGGATTTTACTCTTTAAAAGGTAAGCCAAAGAAATGGGTCAAAAAGGAACAAATTGCAAGCTCTAGTTTAAAAGAAATGTGGGTGAAGGGAGACAGCGGATGGTGTAAAATATGAGAATAAAAATAATTTATAAATTATCAAGGGTT